GCTGGAGTTGAGCCTCCCTGCCCCTTGCACTGGGACGGTACTTGAGTCTAAGACTAGGCTTACCCCCATGCTGACTGAGGGAAAGAACCTCATCTTGGATTCAAGTAAATACAGTAAGTGAGTTGACGAAGATGGAGAATGTAGCCTAGGAAATTCAGTATGTCCTGGGTCAAATAAAGGAACCAGTCAGATTGAATTATATCCCGTTTTGCTGATATCCAAATTGCTTACATGTTAGGTTAAGGATACTGCATAACCTCATTACATGCAGAGATGAATCTTAGTCAGGGAAATAACACCTTATTATGCAGTCATCTAATGGACTGTAAGCTAACAAATCCTGTTTTAACAAATCCTTTATTGCTTATTACCTTCCAGTCCCTTGGAGATCATTTCAAAAGCTGACCATTAAAACTGGCCTCTTTCACAACTCTTTGATGATGACACTAAGAATTGGGCATTTCATGTCTTTGCATTTGGATTAGAATTTGAAAGGTGTAAATTACAGATCTGGCTTTTATGTGCTTGTTTTATTGAAACAGCACCAGCTCTGATAGCCTGGCAGTCTCAATTACCTTTTGGTTTGCTTAATTGGGCCACTGGGGTGCAGTTAATTTTCAATTTATATTAATAGCAAGACAAAGAAGGTGATGTAATACCTCTGTATTAGAGTAATACAGACATTAAAATACAGTGATGTACCTGGTAATTATAAATACATGACTTCCTTGTGAAGGCTAGGAAGAGGGAATTGTTGGCTTTATTCATTATGTATTTTAGATCGTGTCCTGCTCAGACACCTGAAGCAAGTGTAAGTTGGCCCAGTATATTTGAAAGCCCATTTAAAAAATCCTATACTCAGGTATATTCAATGCTCTAATTAGATGGTTATTTCTTTTCTGTGTTTACTGACAGGTGAAAGTCATGGTACGTATTTGTTCCACACTCACCAGAGACACCTCTGAGTCCAGCTCCTTCCTAAAGGTTGATCCTCGTAAGAAGCAAATCACTCTGTATGACCCGTTGTCCTGTGGAGGTCAGAATGCCTTTCAAAAAAGGGGCAACCAGGTTCCCCCAAAGATGTTTGCTTTTGATGCAGTTTTCCCCCAAGATGCATCTCAGGTAAGTAAAGTGTGATGTGTTGGATAAGGATCTAAACACTAGTGTGCTTAAGAACCAAATTTAACCCTTCTGCAATGTTACATAATTCTGTGGGTTTAGGCCAGAGTTGAATTTAGCTTACCAGTAACAGCAGCACATGATTAAGGCATATATCAATAATGGGATTATCAACTTGAGTCTTTGTGTTAAATAGCTGTTTCTAATAATATATATGCAATTAATCATACTGGTGACATAAGAAGCTGTCTAGTCAAGGAGACATCAGATATCAATATTTGATAGTATCCCCCAAACTATTGTTGTTCTTGTGAATCATGTGAAGATGTCCTCAGTTCATGAAGAAACATTTGAATATTTGTGTTGGGTTTTGTTGTTCAATAAGATGTTTTTCTATCTTGGATCTGTGTGTGCCCTGGTTCTCCTTTTAGATTTTTTATTTTTGCCTAATGAGCTCAATAAAGCAAACATGCCATACAGCCTATGAAAAGTGATAGTTAAGAAAACAAATTAGAAAGCACTACTATAAAATGTATGTGAACTGGATGTGGGGAAAAACACCAACAAATGTCTTATCTACAGTAGATTTCTAAATATTGCAACTATAGGCCCAGCTGTGGAAATTTACAGCAGTGGTAGAAATACTTTAGAAACCTGGCCTACATGAGACAATGCAAAATGTTTGTGGTTGTGCTCTGTCTTTACAAATGATCTATTCACTCATACATTAGACAGCACATTTACAGCACTTGTTGCACCCAGGATCCTGCCCATAGTTTTTGAAACAATATAATGGGCTGAAAATTTTTCAAATTTGATTTATTTTAACAGAGAAAGGTAAATTTATTTTTGCAAAATATTAATTTTATTTTCAACCAGCTCTCCCAAATACAGATTCTGTCCGCTTCTGTCATGTGCATTTTATTCACCTTGTCTTAGCAAATAGTAAATGTGTTGGAATAGAAGCATCTGCCATTTCTTAACCTACAGAGACCCTCTTTCAAAGGATGATGAAGTTTCAAAAGAGGGATTTCATGGGGTAACTGCATTGGCTTGGAGCCAAATCCCAGTCACCTTTCTGTTCTCAGTAGTCTCCTTAGCTCAATGGGACAATCCATGCCAGTACGGAAAACAAAAATAGGCCTTTAGAAGTAACGCTATATTATTTGCAAGTACAAATAATATTGTGGTGTGATCACAGCTGTTAATATAGATAATATTGTCTTAATATTTTGCATTACATATCATTGTTAATCTTTTTCTACCTGTGGCAGGCTGAAGTATGTGCTGGGACTGTAGCTGAGGTGATCCAGTCAGTGGTGAACGGGGCAGATGGCTGTGTCTTCTGCTTTGGCCATGCCAGACTAGGTTGGTATTACTACTTTTTCATATGTGAAGTATACTCTTGGAGTCTAAGATGACCTGTTATTTTTAATTAAGGAAAATAAGAATAACTCCCATATTTCTCCATGTTGTATACCAACAGTATTTGAAACTGGAATATGCTGTTCACACATCTGTTTCTCCTGCATCTTCACTTCTGTTATTTGTCCATTTGTTCATTTTTTGCATATTACCCAAATCCTAAATCATGAGGTCTTTGAAGCAGGTGTTGCCTTTTAATTGTTGGTTTGTTCAGTGCTTTTACAATGAAGTCTTGACCCTGCCTGATGTCTGTAGGCACTGCTCCAACAAAAGTAATAGAAAATTATGAGATAGGTTTAGCTTCAAATCCTTATTAATGAATTACCCTCAACTTAACTTTTCCAAATGTGTCCTGTGTTTGGAATTCTTTGGTAGAGGTTTTGTTGCAAATGTTTTTAATCTGTGTCTTGCTTACGATCTGTCTAGTCAGGTATTCCTTTAAGTATTTGATACTTGTGAGTCAATATTCAAGCATTGTGATTGGCTACCTAAATATTCTACATAATTTTTGTCCTGGGTTGGATTATAAACTGCTGCCTTTTCTTTCATAAATAAATATGGTTTTCATGATGAATTGAACTTTCTGTGTCTAGCCAAGATTCATTTTCAGTAAACATTTATATGACCCAAGCTTCAAAGATTCAGAAAAGGGAAAGAAAAGAGGGGAAACGTTTGGTCAATGCTCTAGATTCTTTTGTAAATAATGAACATTCTAACTTAAAATTTTATGTTGTATTTAATAATACCTAACAATAACTAAAGAGGTATCTATTAGGAAATGCTGGTTCTTTAATAGCAATGACTGTACTAAATGCATTATTGTCTGTAAAATGCCCTCTCCATAGAGCTATGCTGCATTAAAAGCAAAAATCCAAACTCTCCACCTTCCCCCCCCCCAAAAAAAAAAATTCAGCAGACATTACTTTTCTAGTAATTAAATGGTTCAGTTCACTAACAGGCCCTGTTTTTCCATTGGTGCACCCAGAATTGATGAATACTTGAACATTTAGGGTAGAATTCCAAGTGCTGGGCACTTCAGCACAATTTCAGATTCTATTTTGTTCTGTGGTAAAACAGACTTGCTGTACTGGAAGCAAGGAGGAGGAGAGCCATGACATAACAGTCTTTCCATGATTTAGCCCAGTAGCCTAGAGGTAGGGCTTTGCCTGGGGAATGGAAGATCCAGTATCTACGCCCCGTTCACCTGCATCTCCTACTTCCCGGCAAAGAGCTCTGTCTACCACCCTACTGCTTCGGCAATATGCAATAAAGAGAAAGTTACATAGGGCCAGAGGGAAGAAAACAAGCCAGAAGGTGTGTGGCTTAGTGGGTGCATCTACCTAAGACATTTACTGTGCTGTTGACTAATTAGCTGTGCAGTAAATGTTACACATCTACACATGTGCCACTATAATACTTGTAAATAACTCTGCAGCAGCATATGTGTAGATGCTGCCCTGGCTGGCTAGGGCACCAGGGTTCTTCAGTGTGGGGGCTGCCTGTCTGCTAGCTGGGGTTGCTCTGACCTGGCTCATAGTGCTGCTTCTGAATAAACTATGGAGCTTATTGCTCTGGAGTTTCATAGATTTCATAGACATTAGGGCTGGAAGGGACCTCGGAAGATCATTGAGTCCAGCCCCCCACCCGAAGGGCAGGAAGTCAGCTGGGGTCATAGGATCCCAGCAAGATAAGCATCCAATTTACTCTTGATGGTGTTCAATGTAGGTGCTTGAACCACCTCCAATGGCAGGCTGTTCCAGGCCTTGGGGTCTCCAGACAGTAAAGAAATTCTTCCTTATGTCCAGCCTGAAATGGGCTTGCAGTAGTTTATGACCGTTCAACCTCGTCATCCCTTGGGGTGCTCTGGTGAACAAACATTCCTCCAGATACTGGTGGTCACCCCTGATAAACTTATAGGTGGCCATCAGATAACCCCTGAGCCTGCGCTTTTCCAGGCTAAAGAGCCCCATGGCTCTCAGCCTGTCATCGTAAGGTCTGTTTTCCTGACCTCTCATCATGCGTGTGGCTCTTCTCTGGACTCTCTCAAGCTTCTCGACATCCTTTTTGAATTGTGGAGCCCAAAACTGGACGCAGTCTTCCAGCTGCGGCCTCACCAAGGCTGAGTACAAGGGGAGAATGACGTCCCAGGATTTGCTTGAGAAGCATCTATGGATGAAAGCCAGTGTTTTGCTCGCTTTACTAGCTGCAGCATCACATTGCAGGCTCATGTTCATCTTGTGGTCAGTGATGACCCCCAGGTCTCTTTCTTCTGTAGTGCTAGACAGTGTAGCACTGCCGAGCCTATGAGGGTGCTGCAGGTTTTGCCTCCCAAGGTGGAGAACCTTGCATTTTTCAGTGTTAAACGCTATCAGGTTCTCATCCACCCATTTGCTGAGCCGTCGAGGTCAGCCTGGATCACCTGTCTGTCTTCAGGTGTGGATGCTTTGCCCCAGAGTTTGGTGTCATCAGCGAACTTGGCCAGTCCACTTCTGACTCCAATGTCCACATCATTAATGAAGATGTTGAACAATATGGGTCCAAGGACAGAGCCTTGGGGGACCCTGCTGGTCACAGGGGACCACGATGATTGACTTCTGTCAATTGAGTAAATTGCTCCCAGGTGCACATTCAAATGACACATCCAGGAGTAATTAACTCCAGAGCAATAAGCTCCAGAATTTATTCATGTACATCAATTGCATGTGTAGACATGCCCAGTTAGATGGATGTTATTCTGCATGGGAGGGGGCTTCTGAGTTCTAGCCTGTGTCCCTGTTCTCAGTGGGGTAGAAACTTCCTCACTGCTCTTCATCCATTTTATCTGATGAATGTTAAATGCAAGGTGCAATTGAGCTTAAGGACTGGAGAAGGGTCTGGATAATGCCTAACCTGTGGCCCGGTAGTTAGAGCACTCCTCATCACCCCACACATTAAGGGTCTTTGTCCAGTCCGCGTAGCTCCCTACTGAGCATGCTTAGTGGACATATGGCTGTTTGCACACCTAGAGCTGCATCCTAAGGGATACGCAGCATGGATTTGTTGCGGATAGGTCTTGCTTGACCAGTCTCATTTCCTTTTATGACCAGGTGACTTATCACCTGGACAAGGGGGAAGAGATCGACGTTGTATACCTCAACTTTAAAAAAGCCTTCAATCTGGTATCCCATGGTCACCTCTAGGCTAAACTGTCTAACTGCAGCCTTGACATCACCATGATCCACTGGCTGGGGAATTGGGTCTATGGTAGGACCCAGAGGGTGGTGGTCAACGGGAGCCAATCGTCTTGGTGCACTGTGACCAGTGAGGTCCCACAGGGCTCTGTCCTAGGGCCTATACTGTTTAACATCTTCATCAATGATGTGGACATTGGTGTCAGAAGTGGACTGGCCAAGTTTGCCGATGACACAAAACTCTGGGGTAAAGCATCTACACCTGAGGACAGATGGGTGATCCAGGCGGATCTGGACAGACTCACGAAATGGGCGGACGAGAACTTGATGGTGTTCAACACAGAAAAATGCAAGGTTCTCCACCTTGGGAGGAAAAACCTGCACCATGCTTATAGGCTCAGTAGTGCTACACTGGTTAGCACTACCGATAAAAGGGACTTGGGGCTCGTGGTTGATCACAAGAGGAACATGAGCCTTCAGTGTGATGCTGCGGCTAGTAAAGTGAGCAAAACGCTGGCTTGAATCCATAGATGCTCCTCAAGCAGATCCCGGGACATCATTCTCCCGCTGTACTCGGCCTTGGTGAGGCCGCAGCTGGAGTACTGCGTCCAGTTTTGGGCTCCGCAATTCAAAAAGGATGTGGAGAAGCTTGAGAGGGTGCAGAGGAGAGCCACGCGCATGATCAGAGGTCAGGAAAACAGACCTTATGATGAGAGGCTGAGAGCAATGGGGCTATTCATTCTGGAAAAGCGCAGGCTCAGGGGTGATCTGGTAGCCACCTATAAATTTATCAGGGGTGCTCATCAAGATCCGGGGGAACGTCTGTTCACCAGAGCGCCCCAAGGGATGACAAGATTGAACAGTCACAAACTCCACTGTGACCGATTCAGTCTGGACATAAGAAAGAACTTCTTCACTGTCCAAGCCTCCGAGGTTTGGAATAGACTGCCAGCGGAGGCAGTTCAAGCACCCACTTCGATTGCCTTCAAGACACATTTGGATGTTTATTTTGCTGGGATCCTATGGTCCCTGCTGACTTCCTGCCCCTGGGGCAGGGGGCTGGACTCGATGATCCTCCGGGGTCCCTTCCAGCCCAAATGTCTATGAAATCTATGAAGTGAAATCTAAGTTTTGTATAGGTGCCAAAAACTGCAGTTAAACAGCTGTGTAACTACCATTTGGTACACAAAGTGAAATAGGCTTTAACCCTTAGTTTTTCAAGGGTTTTTTAATGCTGGAGCAGGAGTCATCTGTAACGCAAGAGAGAGAACTCACCAGCATGGTAGCTGTCATGATTTCTGCCAGTCTTTTAGTGATATAACCTAAACTATAAAACATTCGCTGAGTCTATGCAGCTGCATCATTAACTCCCCTCCCCACCATTTCTACTTCTGAAGTCACTCATAAACATTCCCACAAATAATCATAAAGTCTAAAAATAGCTTGCTGAACTGACCCTCTTACTGTTAGATTCCATTTAGGTCCATAATTTGTGAACTGAGATAAGGTAAAAATAAAGGCATGAGTATTTGTCTAAAAAAGTATACAGTGATCAATATCAGTTGTGTTTAGCTTTATGAAATGTAAAAGATCCTGAAAGCTTGCTTAAGTGTGGCATATAAAGTAATACCTAAAATGATGGTATGCCTGATATACCTCTGTATCATCAGATGTTTTTCAGCAGCGACTTTTTTGAGTCAAAATCCTAGAACCAAACAACACCGAGCTTTGGAAAAGTTTTTATCTGTATCAAAAATCACCTTCTGTGGCTCAGCTCTGGGCCAGATAACGGGATGAGCCAAGCTTCTGTTGGGGGCAAGCTGAGAGAGGAGACCACAAGGAGTCTTTTGCCACTCTGTGGTTCGAGGGCTAATTCTGTCAGTTCCGGCCTCATCGTACTATAAAATCACTTCTAGGGGCTGCTCCAAAGCATGCTGACCTACCGTAGACCTTATCCAGACTTATGATTTCCCTCTGGTGTGATTTCTGCACTTGGAGTTGCAAAACCAGCTATATCCTAACTAGGGACTCCCTGGATTTTTAGGGGAATCTCCATCTACGGAGAGGTGGGTGCTCTCTAACCCCTTTATAGTGGTAGAATGATCCAAAAGAGGAGGATTGCAGCTCAGTCCAATCTACCAGTTATCAGTGCTGTCATTTTCCATACTTGCTTGCTTTCTTCCTACTGTGCAAAACAATGCTACTTGACAGAAGGCTGTGGTTGAAGCAAGTCTGGTTTTTTTTTTCTCTCCCCTCCCCCATGCCTGACAGGAAAATCATACACCATGATCGGAAAAGATGATTCCATGCAGAACCTTGGCATTATCCCCTGTGCCATCTCCTGGCTCTTCAAACTGATTAACGAACGCAAGGAGAAGACGGGAGCCCGCTTCTCGGTCCGGATTTCTGCTGTGGAAGTATGGGGAAAAGAAGAAAATCTGAGGGACTTGCTGTCAGAGGTGGCAACTGGCAGCCTACAGGATGGTCAGTCCCCAGGGGTTTACCTTTGTGAGGACCCCATCTGTGGCATGCAGGTGAATTGAGGGTTTATTTTAAATTGAAGCCAATCTTTAGGGGAGGGGAAATATATATATTGTGTGTGTGTGTGTGAGAGAGAGAGAGGCCCTGAGATAGTTCAAAACTAAGAGCTACTTGAAGCGCCAACTTTGTAGACTTGAAAGTGTTTACAGTATATAGGAACTTTATGACCTGCAGCTGCAGGGCCATCTGCTTTCCTGTCCTAAATATTTGTATCTCCAGGATAACTGACGTTGAGCAGGAGCCTGTGTTTGAAATAAAACATGAAAACCTTCAGAGCAAACACAATTCACCACCTTCCAACAACAAATGAAAAAAAGTGTGATCTCTCTTTGGTACAACAGCAAGCTAAAATATTTACAGTACTTCACAAATAGCTGGAGGCTAGTAATATGGCTGTTTATCTCTCTGTAAACTACCTTATTTATAGCACTGGCATTAGTAATGTTGTAGGAAGCATTAATAGTTATTTATTAATTGCTGCCAAGAAATAAATATTTGAGCTGGGTAGGTCAAGAATAACTCCTACTCTCTTCAGGCATGGAGAGCCAGCAGAAACACCTTAACTGGCTCATATTCCTTCCAGGGCAACCATTAAACAGAGTTAGCAGCCTTCTGTTAAGCTTCTTTTTATTTTGACGTGATACAAAAGTGCCCATTCTTTCTTTTTACTACATAGCACAGGCCTTGTACCTATGCAACTGAATAAGGTATGAGCAAGCCCACAGAGAGGGCTTGATTACAGCCCCTGAAACTGAGGAGCTACTGCCTCCTAGGGACACTTGTACATATGGCGGGGGGTTAGTCTTCAGGGTTGCATTCTATGCCCCCTAAATAGAAATGGTGGTTTTTTTAATTGAAACCCACTGTTTCAATTTAGGGGGTTTATTTTTCTGTTGCTGTTAAGGCAAGGGGCTCAATCCTTTTTTTTTTTTGGCGGAGCCTGCCTGCGGCCAGGGGGTCAAGTTGCTCACGAGCCAAGTGGCTGCTGAGTTGCAGGAGGGCCTGATCCTTCCCTCTGCAGTGGCAGCACCCCCAGGGCCACCTGGGCGGGCTGCTAGTAGGCTGGGTGCTGCCCCAGCTTGGAGGCAGCACCTGGCCTGATCCAACTCTTCCCCAACCCCACTATGGGGCAGTACCCAGCCTGCTAGCAGTTGGTGCAGGCAGCCCGCGGAGGCACTGCCACCCCAAAGGGAAGGAGCGGGGCCCCCTTCAGCTCAGGGGCTACTTGATCCACCATCAGCTCGTGCCCTTCCTTCCCTCCCCTCCCCCCCCAGCCGTAGGAGAGGCAGGCAGCCACTGCCAGGGGGAAAAAAAGATGTTCGAGCCACTGCTTCTGCCTTCAGCAGGCCTGATCCTTTTATTCTGCGGAGCCTGCCTGCCTCTCCCACAGCCAGGGGGCAAGTTGACTAATAGCTGCAAAGCATCATTTTAAGCTAAACTACATTGGGTGTAGTTTAGTTTGCAACAATGCAAACTCATTTAAAACCACCCAAACTCTTGCACATGTACAGTGTGATACCATTAAGCCACACAGTGACATTTTTGTCATGTATACATGGTAATGGCGTCACATGTACAAGCACCGTAGAAGTGTAAAAGCACCAGTGATTCAGGAGTCAGAAGAGGGAAGGAAGAAGCAAGGCCACAGAATGATGAGTGGTTGCACCAGCGCCAAACACTTGAAAGTGGAAAGTCAGGCTTCAGAAATATCACAGGACTTGCTTACAAATTATGAGATTTAAAAATAACAATCTAGTTGAGATTCTGCTCCTTTGCCTTCTAAGCCATTGGGGTTTAAGGTTTGCTTTTGTACCAGAGGTCCTTTGTATTTCTGCATACCCCAAAATATACCATAAAGTTTAGAGTGTGTAGAAAACAACTGCCTCCAAGTTCCACAGTTGCATACATCAAAACTGAATTAATGGTTGAACTGCTGAAATGAATAGCTCTGTAGCACTCCTGCTAGTAGATTAATGTGTATACATATATATAGAAAATCAGCAACATTAATATTGGGAAAAACATCACAAAATGTCATGCTATTTTTAAGCCGACCTTTTAGACAGTATATTGTCCTGCACATTTTCTTGTTGTTGGCAACGCTCTCACACAGGTCTACCACAAATTGTCCTCTTCGTTAAGAACGTAGACTCCAAGAGGGTTTTATTAACACTTTCTGGGCTCTTTTTTTTTTTTTTTAAGGAAAAGAACTGACTCCTTGGCTGTACTGCACAGCAGGGTAAAGGCTAAAAAAAGAAAACTTCTCATTCTATGTAGAAATCTCAGACAAATAGGCTTACCCCACAGGCTGGGGAATGGCTCTAACATAGTCTGAGGGGCTAGCTCTGTATTACCAATCCCAGTACCGTCATCAGTATCATATTTCATAATCACGTCACTTCGACAGGCAACTAATCTTAGATGCCACAAAGCACACCCGCATTCTTAACATTATCACAGGTTAATAAGATCTGACCTCACATCCTGGCTGTCATTTGGGAAAGATAAGAGCAGTTTCCTTTTCCAGTGCTGGCAACTATGATTGAGGTCCAGCAAATGTTAATGTATGTACATTACATGTCCTGCTTCATCTAATGGGTTGCCCTGACCCTGGCGTAGATGCAAAAGCCTATGGGGGAAAAGTACCAGGAAGCTGCTTTGCATTCCTTCTCCACATCCCACAGGGGCTATGCACAGCCTACAGTCCTCTCCTTTCCCAGAGCCCAGCGACTTCTCCTTCAAGTTATTTCTAGGCCTTGAGAGGCCTTTAGGTGCCATTGCAACTGGAAGCTCAATCGGGGCAGGATTGGCCTGTGGCAGCCCCCAAAGAGAAGGGGCAGAATCCGTCTTCCCTCAGGCCCTTCATTCAAGTGTAGCAAGGGTGCAGGGGAGGAATCGCCTCAGTGGTTCTCTCTTTCTCCCATTGTGGTTTCAGATTATTGGCCCTCTCTATTGAAATGCAAAAATAACATTTTGGTCTGCTATTTGTTTTTTAAGCCAAAATAAACACCCAAAGAGGCCTTTTACCCATTAGTGAGGTCCCTGCTTCCATCATTGTGATGAAGTGGGGTTTTTTTTACTTTGCTTGAGACCACTGCTCCTTTAAGGAATCATTGCCACAAACACAGAGTACATTTTGTGGACCTGGGTGCAGATAGGGAGGACACTAATGAAGACTTAGGTTTGGACAAACTGTGTAAAAGGGATGCACACATTTATATCTCTGCTGCAAGGGTTTATGTTTCTTTGAAACTACAAAAGGGGATAAAGGAGCAATCTCGGTTTTCCAGAGCAAATATTTTAGTAATGCCTGTTCACACCTGTGAAAATGAATTTTGATGAACTGGAAATAAGCCCCAGCAAATCCACAGTAGTGTTATATGGTTTATGACTCCAGGATAGTGACCCAGCAGACCAACTTCTACCTTTATCCTTTTAACCCTGCCGTTATTTTTGGTTGTCATATTTTCATATTATGTCTGCAGCCAAAGGTACAGCCATGTATTCTAAGGAGCCTTGACATGGCAATGGATCTAAGAATCAGAATGGGCCTTCTAGTAACAGGCAAAAGGAACAGAGGGTCTGATTTGGAAGGGCATTTCCTCTTTCCTAGTATCTTTTTCAGGCTCATCAGACTTTGATTTTGGGGCCACAAAGTTATGTTGCCTGCTAGTGTCAAATCCTGTGTTTTCTTTTCCTTGGGTTGTCTTATAGCTTCAGAACCAGAGCGAGCTTCGTGCTCCCACAGCGGAGAAGGCTGCCTTCTTTCTCGATGCAGCCATTGCCTCACGCCGAGGTAGCCAGCGAGACTGTGATGAGGAGGATCACAGGAACTCCCACATGCTCTTCACTCTGCATATTTACCAGTATCGCATGGAGAAGAGCGGCAAAGGTGGAAGTAAGTCATTCAGCTTCCCCTTCTATTTCCTCACTAGCTACATTTCAATAAACTGTTTTACTTACAAAGGCTCTGGGCAAAATACTGTGCTCATGTGAATGAACATAGGTTCCATTCCAAATGGAGCTGAGCCAACTTATTTGGCCTTACAGATCCAGCTCAGGCCACTAGTGACTAAAAGGTTTTGCCATCTGCTGGCTATTATAACATGGATTAGTGTGCTAATTTCTGGGATGGAAGTTTGTACAGGTCTGTATGTCAAAAATGAGGATGAAAACAGTGGAATTGATCTCAGTCATCATTGCTGCTGGTAGGCTTAGCATGGAGGCCATGCTAAGATCATACCACCTGAAGTCCCCTCTTGTCATGAGGAGACAGCTGCTATAGTTCATAACTGGCACAGGGGAGGATGTGTGGAAGCTGGTACTGTGCTGCCAATGCCCATTCTTGGTTTTATCTATGGATAAACAAAATAACTCAGTCTCTTGGTCTGGTAACCTTCTGTCTCGCACATATATGCACACTTTTCGTATTTCTGACCTACAGATCTCTATTATCTGCAAGAGGAAAAAAGCATGATGCTATATAAGTAGGGCACTTTACCAGGTTGAGGGAGATCTGTGTTTGCTCCCTGTCTGCCAGAGACTTCCTCTGTGACTTCGTGTAGGGATCCATGTATCTCAGTTTCCCAAGTGTAAATAGGGATACCAGTGCTTGCCTGCCTGTCCTATTCACACCCTAAAACTCTTTAAGGCAGGATTGTTCCTCATAATCTGTTTTTCCAAGGCCTCATGAAGCCTCTCACCCTGTCAAAATGGGAATTTCATTTAGAAAATGTCAAAAATGCAGCATTTTGACATTTTCAGAACTCATTTACTGGGTTGTTTTAGATCAAAAACCTCATCAAAGCTGACCCTTTTCTGTGAAAAGTTGCCAGTTATACAAAATGGCATTTCTGACAAAGTTTTGTTGAAAAATTCTCAACAGGCTTTAATGTTTAAACTTGTGGTCTTCGCTACAGAATGTTTAAGCTTGTGATCTTAACTACAGGCTCTTGTGTGAAGCAGCAGGCTACAATTTAAGATGTCCAAGCAGTGGCTATCCCAGACTACATTTATACCTAGTATTTGAATGCAGAGAATTGCCATATAGCTTATTGAACGTGTAAGAGCTAGAATGAGAGTTGCTTAAAATGGAAATGTAGTTTGCATATGTTTAAGTAATAAACCCTGTGGAATTGGCAGGCAGAACTCAATTAACTAAAGGTTTATTAATTACGCACCCTGCGGTAGAAAGGGTGACACTGAATGCTTCAGCTAACTGATTGTTAGGAATGAAGATGGCTGGTTTTGAGGGGAATATCACTACAGCCATTTAATATTCCATGCATTTTATATATCCATGCCTGCCTACTTGCACACATACACACAAGCTTCTTACCATTGTCAACTACAATTAAAAAAAAAAAGCTGTGTAGAGAAGAAAAATGTTTTTTTCTTGTAGCTGTAATAATTAATTAGAAGATTACTTTATACTATAGGTTTATAATGTGAGATGCATCATTCCCTATGGCTAGATATGTTTTTTTTTCCCCATGGACATTCCACTTTGACTGGACAGTTCCATATCTGGGTGACCCAACAAGCCAGGCAAGGTCAGATGTAGCTGATAGTTGGATGAGAAGGGAATTCCAAAGTCTCAGATAGGGCTCTTTGTGATTATCAGAGACTTTTTTTGCTATAATGAAGGGTTTTTAAGAAAACAATTGGAAGATAGTGGAGATACTCGTTTAAGTAACTATGTAAAAACAAGAAAGCACCTTCTCTTGGGTCAAAGATCAAACGGCTAAAGTGTAATTTTGGTAAGAAGAGGGATTGTTAAAATGGCAATGTGGTGCTGTACTTTTCTGCTAGCCAGATTTATTGCAGGCCAAATTTACCAAGGTCAGAAGCTGGAGCACCACCATCAAAGCTGATGGAATTAAAGAAGCTTTAAGGCATTTTTTTATGAGCCTTTCTGCTGCAGATTTAATATGGGTATATGATATGTTGCTTTATTCCCTTCAGCAAGAACTACCAGTATACTTTTGATTCTAGAAGTTTTGGTGGAGCACAGAGAACTTCATTTTTACATGCATGCTCTTGTGAGTAGTTCTGACAACTAAAAAAGTCTTTGTTGACTTCTCCTTGAAGTAAATGCAGTAGTCCCATCACTTTTGACTGTTCTTGATGTTTTTCATTTGTGTCATGTGAATGTGTGAGTGAAAACAATGGCTAGAGTTTGAAAGGTAATACATTTTTGCTTTCCTTATTTTTTCTTTAATCTCTTTAGCAGTGCTTCCTTTCTTCATTCTCGAAAAACTAGGTAAAGATAAAAAATGGATACTTATGTATAAAAGTTCATCTTAATTATTGTCTAGTTACTCATGAGCTAGGGATAGAAATTACACACAAATTGGTATAAGTGATTGGAAACCAGTTCATATATGTAACACAACAGAAGTTCAATGCACATAAACCTCTTTCAAAATGGCCAAAAGTGGTTTAAGATAAACTGGATGAATGTAGTATCAGACTTAATTGATTTAGGTTAAATCAGTTTACTGAACTTCTTTCCCCATTCCCTTTCAGATTCAAGTTAACTCACAGTCCCAGGATGCTTTACACTTCCCCACAAACCTTCTTTTGCAGGATAGGTGGTAGGGTGACCATCTTCCCCAAACTGGACACATGCCCTCCTCCCACCCCTGACAGCATGGCCCAAGCAGAGTCTGTGACGGAGGAACAAAAAAGGATGTGGGCTGTCTGCTGAGGGCTCAGGGTTCCCTGCCCTGCTGCCCTTCCCTAGGAGCCCTGCACTGGCCAAGCCATCATGGTGAGGCACCCCCTGCCTCCCCAGCAGCAGTGGGGAGCACAACTCTGCGCCACTGCCTCCACTGTTACCAGGTGGGCAAGGGGTGCTTCACCATGGCAGTGCAGCCAGCATGGGGTTCCTGGGGCAGAACAGCCATGGGGCTTCTGAGGGCAGGGGAGCCCTGAGCCCACCTCTTCCCCCACCCTTGCACAAATCTGGGGGGCATGTGCCCCCCCATGTCCCCATCTCTGGGAATGCACACAGCAGTGGGGAATTGCCCTGCCCCACCCATGGCTCCATCCCACTCCCTGGCTAGGCCCTGCAGCTGCACATTCCTGCCCCAGGCCCCATACATCACCCCAGCTGGGCAGCGCCCCCAGCTCCAGCACCAGGTCCTAGCCATAAACCCTGCTGCACATCTTCTGTCCCCATGGGGATCTCAATCTGTGCCCCACTCCCCTTATTTAGCTGCAGGCACCTGGGGAAGCTCCTGTCCACTGCCGTCTGGGGCTGTATTGCTAGCCATGTGTGCGTGTGTATACACACACATCCATGTGGCATCCCCTGCATCCCACTGTCCCCAGCCCCAAGCATCCCCTTTCAGGCTGAAACTCTGCCAGCCTGCAAGGGGAAACCTATAGTTTCCCGTGGTTTTCTCACAGCAAATGGAAAACCTGGATCACTGTGCCATACTGGGGAACCCAGGACATGGTGTCCTGGAGTCATTCAGCCAAGGACCAAGACTTGATGCTTAAATATTGGGACTGTCCCACCCAATTAGGGATGGGTGGTCATCCTAGTGGGTGGGCTAGACTTGGCCCAAGCTGTCTGTTCCAGCAGAGCAGGGAGACTTGCTTTAGTGCCCCCCTAGCTTCTGGCCTGGGCCACTGTAGGTGTGTGGCTGCATTTCTAGAATCAAAAGTAAATGTCTGTTCACTTGCTTATCAGTTCAGTCTATGCAGCTTAAACTAATCTGAGAAGATTGAATTGATTCAGCCTTGGGCTTTTTGACTGTCTTTACTTAGCCATGATGGGAAGAACTAGATTAGCCAATGCACAGGTAGAATAGGATAACAAAACAAAAACTTTATGCAAAAGAGAAGTTCTTATTTTGAGCTGGTTTCTGCCTCTCTCTAGTAAACTTGGTTATGCAGGTCTGGTTTGTTTGTTGTCCGATTCCTTTCCCCTTGTTAAGGAGATCAAATAATTTCTATTTTCTTTTACCGTGGCCTATCAGGAGCACTAAGAAAGTAAGCACCCCTATTATAGGAATAGGATTGCTTTCTGGATTGCCCCCTATCCATTTAGTGGGATTCATTATGCCCCCAGACAGGGTAATGGAGTCACTTGGACGCAGTAGTTGGATAATTCAGAACTGCACTTTGGTCATCTACTAGGTGAAATATAATTCTGCCCATGGTCCCCTGCACAATGAAGGAAGTCCTCTGCAGTAGAGCTGTACCAGTTCCAGTGAATCTGAATTAACCAAACCTCTCTTGTATCTTTCCAAATTCAATCAGCCAGCTATGCCATGCCATTTCTTATATCATCATCAGGCTGGTGGAAAGGATAATAAAGTCTTAGTGGGCACTGACTGTTGAGACCACTGGCCAATAATAGCTCTACATTTTCTAAACAACTGCCTCAACTGATGTGTATTTCTTCATTATTTCTCCATTTGTCTCCACAAGGGCTATCATTGGTCTCAAAAATGTTCTTCCAAAACCATTTCACAACTTACTTCTTCCCCATCTCATAATAATAAATCAGTGTCCCTTAGTTCGGATGGGAAAAAAGTATAATAGGCAAGGATTTTTGTCATATCTTTTATTGGACCCATTGTAGAGTTGAGAGAGCTGTTGGACAAGCTTTGGGGCATCGAGGGTGCATCCACACATGATGCTACATCGCTATAGTGATGTAGCATCCTCAGGTGTCTACACATGACCAGCAGCTACTTCCCTGTAATGATACACTCTCCCGGGATAGTGCACTGCTACAGCAAAGTAGCTGCTAAAAATAACCATGCGCCATGTGTACAGCGCAATACAGTACTTCCAAAGGGAAGTACTAAATCACGGTGCAAGGACAACATTGCCATAGCGACATGTGTAGACATGCCCCCAGAGACCTGAGGATGGGCACTT